AGTAGAGCATAAGGTCAAATGTCATGATCTATTAGCACAAAAAACTGTGATACTAAAGTATCTATGAATATTCCTAATAATATAATACATGATTGTACACAGTAATATCCCCATTCAAGTGACATTTAACCTCAGTGTCAGCTAATTTAAAAAAATAATCTCTCATTTATTTTTCCAATCTCACAATTTCCTTTAAACCAGCTTATAAACCTTTCAAAAGAATCAAATAAATATAATTCTCTCGAAACCGTTCATTTTTTAAATTTCAGCGATATTACAAATTATTTTAGGAGGTATAAAAATAGCATGAAAGTTTTCTTGATTCCTTGTAGTAGCCAAAGTACGAGGAAAAAGAAAATGGCCATCAGTGGGGGACATAGAAGCGTTGAAGGGATCTAAAGTAAGCCCCGGTGTCGAGAAATTACCTCCCCAGTGTCAAGAGTACCGTCGAGACTCGGAAGAAAGACGAGCAGACAAACGAGGAAAAATTTAGGAGTAATCCTAGCACCGGACGTCAGACCGGGCAATTCTCCTTCGTCTCGACGAGGAGATGTTGTTCGTTTTATGTACGCCTCTTTGACTCAATCACCCACACACTGTAACCAAGCAGTACTCTTGCCAGCTCTTTTTCCTGTCTCTCACCTCGTCTCTTAGCTTGGCTACACTTTTCCTTCCCACTTACTCCTCCACCCCAGCTCTCTTCCTACACATTCAACCACTTCTTCGTCCTTTCATCTTGCGTCTCATCTTTTTCTCGTCTGCCTTTCTTCCGCTTTTTTTCGGACCCACATCCACATCGTATAATCGCTGTGAAAGTTTTCATCGCAAAATTTCCACCAGGACGACGAACGCAGCAACCGTACAACGCTTCTAAGTTGAAGAAGGCATTCAGGGTTGCTCTTTTTCTTCAACGTTATAGAATTTACTATACATTCTTAAGAATAATATATTTATATGTATCATGTATAGAAAAAGTGAGAGAGTAAAAATATGTATAAGGAAGTTATTAATTTAAGTGATAAATTTCTAAAAGATTTCGTAGAAAAAAGAAATGATAACTTTATGAATTATTTTTATACTTTTTTCAATTCAAATTGAAACCTTATTTTAATTCCCTTGAAAACTTTTTAATCCATCTACAACTCTATCCGTTATTATAAAATATACGTAAATTCCATCTTGAAATTTACTGAGTGGAAATTTTTTAATTTCATCTTTGTGAATTTATTAGATATATCAATAATAAATTTAAATAAAAGAAAAAAATAATCTACTTCCTGAATGAAAATGAGAAAAATGGTAGTGGTTTTATTTGTACATTCATAGCTAGAAATAGTGAAAGTTTAGACTTGTAAAGAATGTCGTAATAAAAAATACTTTTACATCATTTAAGTCATCATAAATTTAAAACTCTAGAAAATTTTCATGCCAATTTCAACAATATTTTTCAATCCAATGCTCGCTGCATAATCTGAAAGATTGAAATGCATTTGTGCAGAGATATTCCTTGAATATCTTAGGAATAATAATGATATCCATAAATCTGAGGAATGTGAGGTTCTATTTCATGTAATACAGGCTAAACAAAGGATGAAGAGATAGAAATGAAGATAAAAAAAAATTCGATGAACGATGCACGTGCGTTTCTGTACAAATGTCTTCGTTGCGATTATCTCACTCGAGTCACCTGGAATGCAAAAGAGACCAAGAAACATGAACGTGCTTTTCTGGAAAATAGTTCCAATAGGAGAATGGAAACGAAGAAGAGTATTGAGACATTGCCCGAGAATGGTATCGGAAAATATTGAAAAGGAAGGGAAGAAAATGGAGAAAAGTTAGTGTAGGTAGAAATAAAACAAAGCAGCCAAAAAGAGAGAATGAAGAAAACGTTGGATGCGTGGTAGTAAGGCCGTAACCTCTACTCTATATGAGAAAGAGTCGGCGAGTGTTCAGTCAAATGCAGAAAAGAGCAGTCTCGGTGGTCTGAACCGCGAGGGAAATGTTTTGCAGTATTGAACGTATATACCAACGCTTCTGCCTGGTAGCATTCGCCCTCTCCCGGATTTCCCGACGAGCCCGTACACCCCCTTGCCTCGCAATGCTTCATTCCGTCGTGAATGTACGTTGCAGATCTACTGGCGGTCACCCGGAAAAACTACCGGAACCCACAATACATTTCTCATTCTTTTTTTCAGGGAGAGAGAGAGAGAAAAAAAAACACTAGAGACTCATATACTTCTTAAATGCTATTAAAAGAGATGAATGGTTTGGAATCTGTCTGTATGAATGAAAAAAAAATTTCTCTTGTACTGATAATATCGGTTTTGCTAACTAAATATTCAATTTGGATATATTAAAGTCGTTGGAAAGGAGAAAAGCGCAGCAGAGGGAGTGGGTAAATAGAAATGTGGTAGAGAGATGGAGGATGATAGCAAGAAGGAGGCATTAAGAAAAGAGTTTCTTTTGAATTGATAAGTAAGTTTACAAAGTATTTTAAAAATAATTTTTTTTTATTCCATAACAATAATATTATCAAGTAAAACCACCCTTATAACATCCACAAAAGCAACAAAGAGTTTGTGTCATGTGGACAATGTATGTCTAGTTGTAGTAAATATTTTTTGCTTTAACAGCATTATTTTAACAACATAAATTACGGGTAATCGTTGATTCGAATTCAATTCAATTCACTTTTATCGGACAATAGACTAAATATTATTTGTATTTACGACCCAATTTCGGAAATGAATTGTTCTCAGAAAATATTAAAAAAATATTTACAACAGTTAATTTTCAATAACAATATTTTGTAATGATGTTTATTCATCTCACATGTCTACAATGTTTGTAAACTATCAATAAATTCCACTAGCTGTTAGAAAATAATTTCCCCAGTGAGGAACAGGAGAGCAAAGAGCGAGAGAGAGGTATTATATTGGACAAAAGGATGTTGCTGAACACTAATATCCTCGCCTGTGGACAGTAGATAAGGTCGAGTAGTAATCAGACGCCCTGCTGGCCATACCCTACATGATTTCCGTTACTCAATTTCTATATCTGTTATCATCATTGTCACCACTAATATGAATCATCACCACTAATTGCATGTTTCCTTATCTCTTTAATAGACTATTTTTAATTGCAACACTTGAAATGTCTCCATAAAAATCTCCAACGCTTCATGTGTTTATTTATTCAATAAAAAACCTTGCTGATTATTCATATAAAACATTCAATTTTTATATCGACATAAAATACGATGAAAAAACTTTCGCGATTGTAAAAGCTTGTACGTTTAATATGCAGACACTTTTGCGTTTGTATATCAAACTGGTTTATATATGCGATGTGCCTTTGATGATCGTTTTGGTGTGCTATCGAAGGTGTGCGTCACTCATAGTGTGTTGTTTTCAATGAAATATGAGATGAAAAAGAACACGAGGATTGAAAAGTAGATACGAGATTGGAATAATCACAGAAAAAAAGCATGTTTTAGAAGTAAAAACGTGGTAATCATAAATAAAATGGTACAAGTTCTATATACCCCCACGTGTATCATTGGTTTAATGCCATGAGAATATAACACGAGTTCAAGCAAATGATTCCCTTATGGTTTCGTGCTTCTCTCTGAGTTTTAATACTAACCATGATATTCAACCAGAGTGTTTAAATGTACCAGAATTAACCATGGCGATTAAGGACTTGTTATTAATAGCTGACAGGAAAAATATTACATTTGAAATTTTTTCAACGAGTAGTTAACTTTAACCTATTTACAATTTCAAACAGAAGCGAGTTTGAAAAATATTTTTTTTTAGTTTACATGCAAAAAAAGAATTAAAATATCAATTGATTCCTACTAGTTTTTTTTTTAAAGCAGAGGAAATAAAATTACAGCTGAAATCCATTAAAAAAATTTACAGAAGGGAAAAAAGTCTATCAAAGCAATTATGTTATTAACTTCGAAAAATCGGAGCAATTAAAATATTTAAAATAAATTGAATAAGTTTGTTTTTACTCTAGACTCATCGGTAAAATAAATAAATTAAAAAATTCTGTTGATAATATTAATCGTTGGAATTTCATTATTTGTTGATTAAATGTTGGGTTTAAAATATTGAAGCTGTACAAAACAAAATAGATCTGAATAATTGTTAAACGAAATGGTTAAACAAAAATCTTATTCGTAAACTTTTCTGATTGCTACAGTTTACATTTAGTTATTTCGTAGAAGAAACTTTGAAATGTTGTGAAGAGTAAGGAACAAGGTATCTTTAGTTTTTTTTACGTCTGAAACCTCCTTTGATACGGTCGTCCGACTCGAGACTCAACGATTGCATCATGTTAACGTCCCGGAAACGACCCTGCTTTCTCTTCCGCATCCGCAGGTTCATCCGAGGGTGGATCCCTTCTCGGATGACTGGCGCTCAATCTTCTCTGTAGGTATTTTCTCGATCCTGCCGTTTTGAAAGTCAATCTTCAACATTTCGTGCCATGTGACACGTAAACATTATTATTGGTTGAGATAACATTCCTAAATGAATTGTCGCTCGACTAATTATTGATCTGTACTACTGATGATGAAAAATGACTTGAAACATGAATTGATTGCAATTTAAAGAGTAAAATATGATATCATATTTTTCAGTTTCACTGCTTTTCTATTTTAGAACACTTCTTGAAGCTCGAATAGCTTCGGTAAATTTTTTATTTCATTTTTTCCTGTACTCTCTGATAATAAATCTTGATGGTATTAACGTTCAAGCAAGCCGAGAGTTCTGCAGCGATGACATAAATTATTGTCTTTTGGTTGAGAATAATATGGAGGAAAATAAAAGAGTATTACTTTTTCTGGGATAGTTGACTTTTTTACATTGACATATAACTACAATATAAAATAATATATCTATTCATTTTATATCTTTATTTGTTACATACATTTTAAAACAGACTGAACTTTATTGTTGATATACTGATAGTATTTATTTGTCTAATTCCAGGGTTTTATAAAACTTTACATCTGGTATCAAATGTTGGTGAGTTTTTATTTTTTTGAAATTCCATTAAAATAAATTTTTAATATTGCTTCGAGGTCAATAGAGTAGAAGCAAAGATAATTTTTTATACGTTCATTTGAACTATAAATACAATATTATTTACAGATATTTTTAAACTTGTAAATATTTTAAATTCACTGAGGAAAAATTTTAAAAATTATTTCTGCTTCTGTAGGAAATATAAAAAGTTTCTCTTCAAAAATTATTTGGAAAAATAAATGGTAAAAAAATACAGCAAACGTCTAAAATTTATGTATCGGTTACCAAGTTATTTTAAAGCTTCATATTATTCAAAAAATGATAAATATTGATAAAAATATTGGAGCTTGAGAGTCTACCCTATTTTTTTGAAACTCTGGGCTATCGTTCGAAGGATTTCTCATTCCTTATACAGCAATAAATACTGAAATTTGAAAGCGAGTCTTAACCTAAACACGTGTTAGGGTATTAATTTATTGTTTTGAATAATTCACAATCTCAAGCAATGTCCTATCAGCCTCTGAGATGATCTTTACTATTTTCAAAATAGATAAAATTCATTCTACTTTTTTTTTTAAGTAGTGCAAATGCATTTAAAATTGGCAGTGAAATTCAATTTGATCATGAATTATTTACATGAAGATAATTTAAGAATTAATTAACAATAAATAATCAGCTGTTCCATTGGCCGACTATTTTCCTTTCAAATTAACATTTATGATAACTAGTAAAACGAATTACAAGAAAATTTTAATTATAATAACAAATAGTTCCATTGCCTTAATAAAGTTGAAAATATGAACCCCCCGGTTCATAATGATGTGAATTAAAAGTCTCCTGTGTTCATAGATTCCACTTTCCAATATAAATCATAATTAATGTTTTGAATCTTGTCTGTGTCCCCTGTGGCGATCTGTCAATTTTATAAAATTTATCACGAAGAGTAATTTTAATAAATTCATCTATTTACGTGAATGTCAGTACAGTTATTAAACAATGAGGTAAAAGACATTAATTAGCTGAAGAGTTTGCGGGGTTTCATTAAAGACAATTTGCGTGAGCATCAGACATTGTAGACTTTACAACATGATATCGAAGTCATTCGAGTGACCATCAGCAGTTGATGCTCCATAGTAGGTTTCTCTTATCCCCCTCCCTGTCTTCCTTCATTTCTCTTGTACTACTGATTATACCTCTTTGTCCTGTTAGCCTCGTTAGAGGATATCCAGATACTTTTAACGAGCAGCAAACTCGAGTCGCTTGGGTGCCAGACCGTTAATCCAAAATATATTACCAGAGCTTTGTACCTTTGTGCTTTTTTTTTTGTATCTTTTTGTATTTTTTCTTTTGACTCTCATCCTGCTCCGCTACGGTTTTTGTATTTTAGTTGAGAACTTTTTGCTCGCAAAAATCAATAAATTTGAACATTGATGCTACTGCTGGGAACTGCGTAAAAAATTATTTTCATTCAACAAAAGCGAGAGGGAGTTTTATTAATAACTTTTGATAATGTATTGGACATGGATAAAATCAACTGACAATAATTATTTTTTAACTTCAACAAAATAATAATTTTTAAATTTCATCACTAAAGAATTCTTTTTGCAATTTATTTTTTCTATTCATTAAATATGTTTTAGTTTGTCTCTCATAATTACGAAAAAAATTCAAATATCAACATTTCCAAATATCTAAAATAATTATGATGATAATTACTATGAGAGAAATGTGAAAAATATTTAATTAAATTAACAATCAAATTAAAATTAGGTAATAAAGATGAAAGCTGACTATATACGAACATTGAGTCTACCTTGATGCTAAATTGTTAGACATCTATTCCAACTTGTGTGTTGATCTCTACGAACTTGGAGTTAGTCTATATTATATCTACAATACTCTATTTTGACATCGTATTATGTATTATCAAATGATGAGAGATGAGTCAACGGAACAATCAAGCTATTTATAATAAATCCTACACCTCTAAAACACTATAATAAAAAAATTGAACCTTATTTTTCCGACAGGATATGAGATTTTTTTGAGCTTCATTAAATAAATATTAACAATTTTACAGCTTCCATAGCCAAGGATTTTTTTTCACTAGAGGTTTCCTGATGAAATATCCTCTTCTATGAAGTTATTAAATTTGTGGCCACGGTTTTTTATATATCGATCTCTACTATAGCTGTTTACTTGATAAATAATGTAAATTTATTCGGGAGTTATTAAAAATTGAAGTTTCATATAAGTGTCAGAGTACTTCATTAAAATGGGCAGCGTTTATTTATCATCTGTAATTAATAAAAATATTTAGTGCATATAGATTTTAAATTAGTAATTTAATTATCACAAGGGAAGAGGAATTTATACGGAAAGTATATGATAGTTGGTAAAATAGTTGGGAATAGAAGAGACGAGTACACGCAAGTGCTGTGGTATTGGTGAAGGGTTATTGCATCGCTTGCACATTTTCCGGACACTGTAATACGCCAAGCGCATGCAGGCGACACGTTGGCACGCGCTCTCTCCACTCTCTGCATCAGCCAACGAGAGCTAAAATTTACTGCTAATTGTTTTCCCCAGAGCGTACTTTGTCGCGTATACCTATCGATCGTGTGTGTGTCAGAAAGAGTAAGGGAGTGCGAGAGGAAAAGCGTGACAGTCGATTACGAAGCGTCGCAAGCGCAAATAATGGTTGTTGTACAAATAACAAACGTTGTAATTTTACGGGAAATATACTATGCGTTCATAACAATTCTATAATGCAAGGATTTTTTAATTAAAATAGTTATCAATTTTTTTTTTTTTTTGTTTTTTGTAAAAGGTCACTTCAGTGGACTTTTAGAAAATTCTTTTTAGAGATGGTTATTCAGATTTTATTCAACAAAAGAAATATGAATATTTTCCTTGCTGTTTTTTTTTTCGTAGTGCAAAAATAAAAATAATAGGTACAGAAAGTTTTATGGCAAGTCAAAAAATTGATAGAGTTAAAAAAAGAATTTGTGTTTGGTTGAACATTAGTTAGACACTAAAAATAATATTTTATTAAATTGTTCCAATTTTTTTTTTTTTATTTTCAAAAAAATTTTACAACAAAAGATAAATTTATCTTATTTTGAAAAATAATTATTTCCGTCAATCAAGATGGTATGGATCGAATTTTAAAACTAGTGTTATTAAAAAAATAAATGACAAAGTTTAATAATATTTATCGATAAATATAAATAATTATTGTAATTAACTCAACTAATTAATACTAGAAAATTGGATGCAATTTTCTCCACACGTTCTATTAGAAAAATGAGCGAACGATTTTCCATTTTATCAACTTCAGATTAAAATTTTCAATTTTTAACTTATCAATTCCTAGAGGGTGAAAAAACTGGAAAAAATTAATTCCAGAGATCACACAACAGAGGGATCAAATGTAAATAAACAAATATGACAGAAATATTGGTATCTATATTTTTTTCTAGTGTAAAGAAAAATACTTTGCCAGTGGTGTATGTTGTTGCGTATCACATGTCATATTTTGATACAATGTGAGTTGAAAATTCAATATTTCATCATAATAGTCAGTATTGTTAATAATCCTAGGGAAGTTCTACAAAAATCTCAAATTCTGAAATATTGTCTACCAAATCATATCAAATGGAGCACAAAACAATCCAGAGCAAAGCTTTAAAATGATATATTATCATTTATTATCTCCATCAAAAATATCTAATCTCCTATTCATGAGCAAAATTCAACATTTAGAATGTGCTACAATGAACTAAAACAACAGATAAATGAAAGTACAAGCCATGGATAAATGCACTGGATTGAATTGAGATTGCATGCATATACATATCAAGTGGTTGATGGAGTTTACAATTCTGAGTGCTTCCTGGTATCAATCTGATGCTTGTTGACACTATCAAGCAGGCATCATTGAATCCCTTACAAGTTCCTTCACTCATCTGAGAGTTGGATCCACGTTCTACATCAAGAACAAGATTTCCGAAGTAGGTCGTAGTAATACTCATACATCTAGGAGTATTTTCGACTATATCTTCTTTATTATCATAATGTATTGAGTCAGAAATTCGCAACAACTCTTAAGTAGTTGCTTCATTACATTATTAATTTCACAGTCTCTGTTTAATTATCCTAATTGTTCCTAAATGTTGCTTCGAGTTTCTTGCCTCTCAAATTACCTTTATTACAAAGGCAGTTTTCGCATTTCATGTTATAAAATAGTTATTATGTTGAAAATAAGTTCTCAAAAATTTATTTAATTAAAAAATATATCTTGCTTAAATAATTGCTGATTTTAAATATTTAAAATTCCTCTACAAGATGAGATTTTTATTTTAAAAATGATTTCTAGTGATTGTAGGATTTTTAACTGCTGAAATATTAATAATAGAATTATCCCCTAATATTTACCTTCATCAGGTCATTTTTATGAACGTTCAAAAGCTCAACTGAATCCCAGAGGTTCAAAGACTCCAGGTCGCTGCTCACTCCAATTTCTCTCTCCCATTTGCACCTATCCTTCGCCCTTCCTTTCTAATTAAAGACCAGTTTGACGCCTGTCCTGTTAATATCACCTCCACCTACTCCAACTATCAAATTTCCTCAAAGGGCGGAAATTCCAAGGAGAATTGTTAAGTAGATGAACCCATATATTTACCTTTAAATTGATATCAAGCTACTCCTTGATATGTACATATTTTTTCGTGTAATTAAATATTCACTGAATGCTCGACTCTACTGAAATGTGTCCTTTAATAGTGGTATCAAATTAAACTTGACATTTCAGTTGAGCTTGCTCTCGTTGAATTTATAATTCGGTATTAATAAAATATTTTGATAAGTGAATTAATTTCGGCAGAGCAGTGAGACAATTGTGCACGTAATAGCAAACGAAGAGAATTAAGTGGTTACTCGTATTCACTGTGGAATAGCTCTCATATATATGGATTCTAGATATAACTGACTGAGTAGTA